GATAGAACTGTGATTTTCATGCAAGTATCCAGAAAATATCAAGTTAACATTCATTGGTAGTCAAGACTGAAGATTTTCATCCTGAACCCTCTCTCACAAGCTAAAAGTGGGAACATATGAGGACGTAGGATAAATGATCTTCTACAGCCTTTCTGGAAAGCCTTTGCAACCAAGATAACTCTGGAAATTTTGATGGCTCCCTTTCTATGAATACTAAGATGTCCTTGTTGGTTACCTCCTGAAATTCCATGGGGGTTCTCGGTTGCATCATAATATAGAGAGGATTATAATGTATAGCCTTAATACGATGGAGTTATGCTAATCTTGGCTCAACAATCTCTGACACTCCCTAGAGATGGAGGTGGATAAACGCATTGGCAAAACAGCTACCACATTCTCTAGACTCACAAAGAGAGTATGCCTTAATAAGAAGCTGACAGCATATACCAAGATCCAGGGCTATAGAGCCTGTGTTCTGAGCACACTCCTGTACTGCAATGAGTCCTGGACCATTGGTGTATGGCAGAAGAGGAAGCTGACCACGTTCCATATTCATTGTCTCCAACACATTTTTGGTATCACCTGGCAGGACAAAGTTCCAAACAGAGTAGTCCTAGAAGGAGCTGGAATTTTTAGCATGTATACATTACTGAAACAGCAATGTCTATGTTGGCTTGGGAATGTAGTGAGAATGGCTGATGGTCAGAATCCAAAAGATCTCCTGTATGGAGAATTAGTGCAGGGAAAGTGTCCCAGAGGGAGGCCACTGCTGCGATACAAGAATATCTGCAAGCAGGATCTGAAGGCCTTAGGAATGGACCTCAACAGATGGGAAACACTGACATCTGAGCATTCAGCCTGGAGGAAGGCGGTGCATCATGGCCTCTCCCAATTTGAAGAGACCCTTGACCAACAGGCCGAGGCAAAGAGGCAGTCCTGAAACCAGCAAAATCAGGGAGCTGGACAGGGGACAGATTGTATTTGTCTTCAGTGTGGAAGGGATTGTCACTCTCGAATTGGGCTTCTCAGTCACACTAGACACTGTTCCAAGTCCTCCATGCAGAGCACGTTACCATAGTCTCTCAAGACTGAAGGATGTCTAAATGCTAACTACCTTTTGAATAAAATATATTTATATTTCCTCTAAATAAAATGACAGAAAGGGCCATTTCCCTGAGGAACGCTTCAGAATCTTGGAACTTGCATGATCACAAAACACCATCCAGACCTCTTGAGGAATCAGGAACAGTGTTTGAACAGGAAAGTGATTTGATGCAATTTGGCTTAGAAACCAAAGAGCAATAACAAGTCACACGTATTGAATTATTCAAAATGATCATATGATTTTGTTCATTTGACCTTAACGCTACAGGAGCTCTCTGGAGAAACTACCGACTGGAATACTTCTCTGTTCAGAAAAGCTGTCATTCTTGCAACATGTGAGAAGGGTATGGAATCAATGTCTGCATTCAAAGACATCAAAGATGAAGGACAGTTTCTTGCCATATTCGTCTCCTTGTCATTAAAACATGCTAATTCATAAAAGTCATATCCAGCTACTAAATAGAGATAAAAGTAGTAAAAATATCATGGTTTTGATCATTCAACATGAGATCATTCAATATGAGAAGGCTCACAAAGCTAATGGCTGAAAGACTTTCTATTCTACAATTCTTGCAACATGTCAGGAGATATTGGAATTGTTTTTTTTTTAAAGGTCAATATTATGGAAGGTATGAAATCAAAGGAACATGATCCATGCAGTCTGAGACAATATTCCAAGAGATCAAAGAAGACAGACAATATTTCTGGTCATTTACAGTTCCTTGTCACTTAAGAATACCAACCAGAAATCCTATTGGTGATTTATGTATGCAAGTGAAAAATCATGTAAGACATGGTGGCAAACTATCACTCATTGTTAATAAGATGCTGGTTGCATTCCTGGACATACCCAACTGGGCAACTGGGTACATACTCAAGAACATAATCAGCCCCTCATGAATGAGCACCAGTTTCCACCACAATTTACATGACTTCCCTTCTGCAAGCATAAATCATGAATAGGTTTCTGACTGTTAACAGATAACAGGCTTATGTGGCTACTATATGGTGACAGAAAATTGTTGTTTAAATCTCTGTCAATCTTCTGGAAAGATTAATTGGCTGAAATCCAGTAGTAAATTACAACTAGAGAAGGCTCAAAACTCTAATTCTGACTTACTATTAGACTTCAGTCCAATATAACTCCAGGGCATATAACAGTAAACAATGTTTTGATTATCAGTGTTAATCTTCAAAATTATCTCATCAGATTGAAAACAGAAGTTATATAAATATCATCAATAAGTAAATTGAGCAACTGAATTTTCTTATTCGTTACCCAGCAATAATACTATATGGGATTCAGAATTGTATCTCAAGTGTAAGCAGTCACTCCACTCTAAGAGTGCAATACAGAACTTTAGTTTTGCTGTGTTCAGGATTTAATCAGTTTCCTTCATTTCATTTGTTTAATGAGATTTTGAAGGTTATCTTGCACAAGTGTTGCACTTTGTGAATGTTATAGTAAATATTTCAGAAAATTACAAAAAATGCTCTACAAAGAACATAATCAATAGTGTAAATAATGCTTTCATCATCAAACAGCCTTTGCCAAATGCTGAATTCAGAAACATTAAATATATTTAAATAATTTAATGTAAAGAGATTCGATAACATATGAACTATAAATATTGGGGGAGGGGCTGCCTTAGGATGAAGGAAAGGTAGAAAATATAAAAGAAACAATCTCTCAAATTTATCAGCTGTGCATTCATCAAAACCATTAGTGGAAAATATACGCCTGTAGAGACACTGATATACATTTTAAATAGAGTTGTGTGCACAACAATCTGATCTTTCTTTCTTTCTTTCTTTCTTTCTTTCTCACAGGAGACAAATTAGCAAAGGAACAATTGAATACATGATATGAGTTATCTAACCATGATGTTCCAACACCAGAGTGAGTATCACTGTAACTTATTTTTATAATAATAAATAAAACTGTGCAGTTTTTAAGTACTGTGCAATTGTATAGATGTAATTGTGTAAAATATAGGATAGCTGAAATAGCGCATATTTCATAGCCAAGGCCATGACTGAACTCAAACATATACAGTGGTACCTCGCTAGATGATGACTTCGCAAAATGATGAATCCGCATGACGATGAGGTTTTGCAATAGCTATAGCGATTCGCAGAACAGTGATTCCAATGGATGATTTTCACTGGACGATGTTTGGGTCCCTGCTTCGCAAAAAGTTTCTTGCAGTGTATTCGCGAAGGCTTTCACGGCTGGGATCAGAGGACAGTTTGCTGTCTTCTGAAGATGCCGGCCACAGAGACTGGCGAAACGTTAGGAAGAACCACTTTCAGAACACGGCCAAGAAGCCCGAAAAACCCACAACAACCAGTTTCTTGCAGGACGACGATTTTAATACTGACCGGCGCTTCGCCAAATGGGTGTTTTCGGCACCGATGCTTCGCAGGGCAGCTATTTTAACAGCTGACTGGCTTCCCTATGGGCGATCTTTGTAAAATGGGTTTCAATGCATTCCAATGGGGAAACGGTTTTCACAAGATGATGTTTTCGCTAAACAGGGATTTCTATGGAACGGATTATCGTCATCATGCAGGGCACCACTGTATAGCAGTTGATATCTATGATATGATAGCAGAAGAACTGAGCATATAAATAATGTCTACACATTAAAACAGAATGAGGTAGTAGAAGTCTGGATTGAACTACTTTGGACTGCAGTTGGATGGGAACCTTATTCTGAAATTCTGTCCTCATGTGAAAAGCTTCATTTATCTATAAAACTCAGTACAAATACAATAATAGGTGATACCTTTGTTGACCACTAAAAAACCATCATACAATCAATACATGAGCTTTTGTGGATGAACAAGACTTTATCAGGCTCGTATCTTTATGAAGAACTTTAAAAGTCCAAAAATTCATCGCAAGGTGGATTTGTATTTTATTTTGTATTGACCACACAGCTTTATTTCTGTAAAACTTAGCACATCAGAAAGAATGTTTTTTCTAAATTGGGTTTCTCAAATCTGCTAGTATGCTACATTCAGTTAATTTTATACAAGGAAAATAACATCCACCTTGTAGTTTGACATAGAATTTTATGCCTCACTGTGTACACAATGAAGACTTAAGGTAGTAACAACATACGATATGAAGCAATATGTAAAATTAGTATACAATATAATTATCTGATAAGTTAATATCTATATGATCTCTACAGTAATGGTAGTCTGAACCACATTGGAAAGTTTGTAAAAAAACAAGTGGATCTTCAACATGCATCGAAAAATAAGAATTGCTAGAGCAGGTATGGAACGGATTAATTTATTTGTTTGTTTGTTTGTTTGTTTGTTTGTTTATTTATTTATTGCATTTATATGCCGCCCACCTAGACATAGTCTACTCTACATATTAAACTAGAAGTACACCATGCTGCACATGACTGCAAATTCGACATCAAGAGAGTGTTGTACTGCCAAGAGGTCTTCTTCAGATGACCTTAAGTCTAGAAAGGAGAAAACTTTCTCTCAAGTCTCAGATTGTCTGTAATGTGTGCATGTATGACATTATTATGAGTAAAAAGTAAGAAAAATTATAAAATGCGTACAAAGGGATTCCGTTTAATACAGAAATATTTTATTCTATTGTATAAATCTGGTCCTAAAAATAAATGTATCATTGTGTGTTAAAATGATATTGTAAAAGTTCCATTCATAAATATAGAGGAGAACGAGATGGTCCCCTTAAATGAGACTTTTTCCTTCTTCCAGAGGATGCAAGCAAAGAATGTGGAAAGAACCAGATGTCAGGAGGGAAGCTAAACCCAATGAGAGGAAATAAAAGTGGAATATCTTTGTAACTCTAAGATAGTCACACTTAAAAAAAAAGAAATAATGAATTCAACCCAATACAGTACCTGCCGTAGCTCTGAAAGTCCCTTGAGTATGGCCTGCTGCCTCTCTCTCACAATGTTAGGATTAAAAAGCGGATCCCTTACATTATCAGAACTAAACGTCTGCCGTGGTGTATGGTAAGCATCTAAAAGAAAATACACATGAAATTAACTATATTGTAAATAATCATCAGTCTAGATACAGGCCAAAATCCTAGTGAGGTTTTATACTGATGTTAACACATTTGGCAAAAACTATGTTGTCAAACTGAAACTTGAAGAAGTTACTGTCAGTTGTTTGCTGTGAGCAAAGCAACTTGGTACACAATTGGAAGTGCCTGTGCTAACATCTTATGGTAATTCATTAACAAGATTTACACCGTTTCATGCAGCACAGTGGTGCCCCGCTTGACGATTACCTCGTTAGATTAAATCGCTTAATGATGAAATCAATGTTTTAAATGGGAAAAATCGCTTCACAATGATCGGTTCCCTGCTTTGGGAACCGATTTTTCACTTTACGACGATCAGAAAACAGCTGATTGTCGGTTTTCAAAATGGCTCCCCGCTGTGCTTAGGACGGATTCCTCGCATTGCACCAGAAAATGGCTGCCCTATGGAAGATCTTTGCTGGACGCTGAAGTATTTCACCCATTGTAACGCATTGAGTGGTTTTCAATGCGTTTCAATGGGCTTTTTCATTTCGCTTGACGAGGATTTCGCTTAACAGCGATTTTGCTGGAACGGATTATCCTCGTCAAGCGAGGCACCACTGTAGGATGTTTGCCATATGTATTATTTGTGTGTGTGAGTGTGCATGCACGTGTGTTCATTTAATACTTTTAGTTTTAGTATAACTGAGTTTTTGTAGAATATTATCCTAACATATATATGTAACACACTGTAACACAGTGTGCGTTACAGTGCGTGTGTATATGTCCCCTGGCAAATGCAGCAGGTGAAACTATGACCCCCATGCCTGTCAAAGTTGCCCACCTCCGTTTTAGAATATATAGTGCAGACTGAATATATGCAATCAGGTCAAAAAGAAAGGACATCCTCTTTGAATTCTATGCTTTTATGTATCAGGACATTAAAAAAATCATTTGGTCCTTAGCAGGTCTGAAAATTAGGTAAATACAACCTCAGATGAACAACAGCACAATACATATTACAGTGTCATGATTTATTTACAAAAATAAAGCCAAAATGGAGAAGCCACACCAATTGGCAACTTTGACAGGCATGGGGATTGTATCTTGGATCATATCTTCACCCGCAACACTTACTAAGGGGTTACATGAAGCCCACAAATGGCTTATAAAGCCTGTAATGATGAATATAAAGTGAGTGCATAAACTAGATGTGTTCCTAGACTTACTAGACCTGCATAAAGGAAAAACCACTGGTTCTAGGGAAAAAATTCTTTCAAAATTTATTGGAATTATTTTAAATGGGGGCCTGCAAAAACATCTGTGGGCTGTTTCTCCACCCCATCTCTGTTCTAAAATTTAAAAAAATGTTAAATATAGAACTTTAGCCGGTGTTAAAAATTCATTATTCAAGGGAATCAGTCTAAATTCACTATGTCATGAGATTCTCAGTTGACTATATTATTAGACTTATTTTAAGTGAATGATTGTGTGCTACATTAATATTTCACAGTGAACATTGTTGTACCAGACGCAGCTCACTGGAACAAAGATTTCTGGAAAGTAAATATATGTTTTGGAGTAATGGTGAAGTGAATATGCATTTATTTTTATTCTAGTACCAGTCAGCTGTTGGTATTGTGGATCATGCGTTGCTGGTCTAGTCATGGGAGCGTCTGGATCAAGGTAATACACCTCATTTGTCCGCACATAGGGGACAAAGTGAGATGAAGGTGGCCTTTCAATCCCAGCACTTGGAGGAGGTCTTTCGCTCTGATGCTTCTCTGTATCAGTACTTATCTCTCTTCCATAATTGCTGTCATGAGCTGGGAAATCAGGAGTCTTTCTTTGTTGTTGTAACCTGTTTTTAACTGCTGGAACAGGTGGTGAGGCTGATCTGTTTAAAAATAAACAACAACCCAACTTCTGTAAGTAAAGTGCTGCTAATATTAAAATATATTTATTACTTATTCCTTCTGGTTTGTTGAATTATCCTTAGCAAATCTATTAAGAACCTAATTGCAAATAGCCATGTATGCCTGATTCCTAGCTTAGGAAATCTTTTTAGGCACAATATTGTATTCTTCAGCAGCTTACCACATAGCAACAGTTGATATTTATTACACTTATTTCCCATCTCCAAGAAACATATACAGTGGTGCCTCGCTTAGCGATCGCTCCGTTGGGCTATGAAATCGCTTAGCTATGGGGTTTTGGCCATCGCCAGAGCGATCGATCAGCGATGGCCCCTATGGGGGGAAATCGCTTTGCGATGATCGCAGGGAAGCGATCATGGCAAAGCGACCCTTTTTGCACAGCTGATTGGTGGTTCCAAAATGGCCACCCACTGTTTTTGCCTCGCTTTAGAGGCACCGAAAATGGCCGCCCGTATGGAGGATCTTTGCATAAGGTCAGTTTTTAAGACCATAGGAACACATTAAACACGTTTTAATGCGTTTCTATGGGCTTTTTAAAATCATTTAGCGATTAAATCGCTTAGCAACATTTTTCCTGGAACGGATTAACGTCGCTAAGCGAGGCACCACTGTAGTAAATATAGGTGGTTCCCACCATTTTTATTCTCACATCATGCCTCTGAAATTGTCTTTCCTAAGTTCAACAAATTGTAAGCATATTAATCAACAGTGATCTCACCATACGTTTTGAACTTCAGTAACATAAAAAAGCAGTGGTTGAAACCTAGTTGGTCCAAGTTTGCTATCATAATGATGTTATCACTCAATGATGCTCATATTTATCTTTATCTTAATTTAAAATCTTTTAGACCCCTTTCATGTTCTGAGGCTGCCTAGGGGGATCCCATTTTGACTTGGGGAATCCTTTGGGAGCCTTGGGATAGCAGTGGCAGCAAGGGATTTAATATAGGAAAATTGCTGCCAAAGAAAATCCTGAAAAGGGTTGCCTTAAGTCAGAATCAACTTAATGAATAAGCACATGAGAATAACTATTATTATTCCTTCCTCCAGCACCCATGCAACACTGCGAAGCACACGTGTGGACCCAAGCCACTAAAAAAAGAAACATGTTCTGGATATGAAGGGAGTTATCATAGAACATTAAATGGTAAAGTTGATAGAAACTCAAAATTTGAGAGAAGAAAATGTACAAAAATCAATGTTTAAAACCAAATATGAAAGTGAATTAAGAAATACAAATGTCTGAGCCAAATATGAGATCAATAAAGAAAGAAATCAGATTACTTGACAAAAAACAAAAATAATGGATGTAAAAGAAAAAAAATAGCATCATTGATATGGTGTCAACCTAGGATTGGAAAAAGGAGTAGAGAGGAAGCTGGATAGATGGATGATTTTTAAAGATCAACAGGATTGGCATGGATTAGAATAATGCAAAAAAAAAAATTTGAGGAAGCAAAAAGAGGAAGACCATATCTAACATTGGGTGTCAAGGACTAAAAGAAGAAGAAGAATTCTGTCAACGAGTATGGAGTACTAGCTGTAATACAAATCAGTGTTGGAGGGGACCTCCAGTATATTCCAGTCCAGCCACCTGCCAGTGCAAGAAGTCTGCTTCTATCTCATCCCTTTCAGGTGAGGACCAGCCTCTGTTTGAAACCATTAATGCTACAGGACACGGTACTGAAATAAGAAGCCATGGGGTGCATGCAGTACAGGCAGGCAGACGTTTTCTGGGGCAAGATGTTTGAAGGAGAAAAGAATCTGGGAAATTCTGAAATACTATGAATACTGTTTTCCTCAAAAAGCACGGACCAAAAAAGTATGATAGAAATGAAAACTGAGGACAGATGTCTTCACGTATGCCAAAAACTGGACAGTGGTTACACAATGAATACTAATTCAAGTGAATTCAGGTTGGTTTCAAAATGCTCTGTTAACAATTTGATACTTGTTGGAGTCAGATCAATATTCCTACTTACACTATATTATAAATGGATCTTAGATAAACATTTTCCCCTACAAAATTGCAGTGAGACGTGCTACAAGTCAACCCTAAGGTTACTACAGAGAACTCAAAATAATGCTGCATTGTTATCATCATTTTGAACTAAATCCCCAAAGAAATGATCTCAAGGCTAAATACGAGTTTGTTTAAACCCAACTTTTTTTTTTTTAAACTCTGGCCTTTCAGTACCTCCATTCCCATACCTGCCACTCCAACCATAGTTTGAAATTGGCATCACAGGCCCTTTAGGGCAACGTGCTTCTTTAGCTTATGCACCAAAAAAAAAGTCTAAGTGTAAATGCACTCATGATAATGATGTACAGTAAAATTATATGCATATATGCTGCATCCCTGCATACACTTCTGTAGAATTAAACCTTACTGAAATTTCTGATTTGACTTGTGAAATATGGTGTGGTAAGAGATAAATTTTGATCTCTACTTGTCCACAATATACATATATTCTTGGTGCTGCTTTTTATTCTTAATATAGTCTTTGGAAAGAGTAGAATTTGCAGTTCTATTTTCAAAATTAGCAAAAGTAGTGGTGCTGATCTTGTGAAGTTACACAAAAATTAAATGAATAATTTAACAGAAATGGATATACCTACCTTTGGTCAAACGGATAGTTTTTTAGAGACAGTTCTTCCTACAAGAAGACCAAAATATATAAATGAAGAGTCGTTTCTCACCACTCTGTATTTTCTAAATAATGCTTTTATCAGTGCGTTAAAGAGAAGAAAATAGCAAGTTTGTTTTGAGTTGCTGTTGCACACACTAAAAGTGAGAGGTGTCAATTTCTCTACTTTTAAAATTTGTCGCTAGTATTATATCTCACTGCCACAACCTTCTATCACACATTGCTATCTGAGATAAAGATGAGATATAGTGATAAATATAGGTAAGGATGAAGTTGTTAAAAGCTCTGGAATTTTCCCACCTGGCCATCAAATGAGACGATTCTTTAGCTAATTGTGGTATTTGTATCCCAATATTATCTGCTGTAGCCAAGTACACACACACCACAGTTCTCCTTTTATCCTCATAATTATTTTATGAGGCAGGCTAGACTTCATTTATTGGCCAAAAGCACTTTGAAAGTATTTAGGCCAATTAGTATCATGAGATATCCTCAAATATGATTGAATTAAATCATGAATGAAATCTGTGCTATTTGCTGCATTAAGTGTGTTCTGACATGGTCAAAGTGTTTAAATAGGAAAATTATAAAACCTTTTTAGAAGACCAGTAGTATTACCCATCACAGAAGCCTTTCACATAAAATGACCAAAATACAGTGGGGTCTCGACTTACGAATGACTCTACTTGCGAACAATTCAACTTACGAACCCGCCCTATAGGGGAAATAAGGACTCGACATACGAACTTCCCTCGAGTTACATACAGGAAAAAAGTGCCCCCTCCCGCAGGGGTCTCAAACTGTGGCCCTCCAGATGTTCTTGGACTTCAACTCCCAGAAATCCTGGCCAGCAGAGAAGCTGAAGGCTTCTGGGAGCTGTAGGCTAAGAACATCTGGAGGGCCACAGTTTGAGACCCCTGCCGGGCTTCTGGAGGGGAAAAAAGGGTCAGAAACTTAAAAATAAATAAAAGAAAGTCACTTACCAGGCCTTGGTAGCCTCCAAACAGCAGGAAAAAGAGCAGAAAACAGCTAAAAGCCCACACCAGAAGGGAGCCTGGCAGCCATTTTGTGATTCCCCCCCCTCCTGCACCCTCCTCTCCCCGCCTATCAGCTGATGG